TTTTTTTCAAATGAATCTGGATTTTCATATCGACCATCTATACGAAGATATTCATGTATTTTTTATGGAACAAATGGATATAACCGAATAGGCACGATAATGCGATGTGAATTTTGGGGACAGAGACAAAATGAAATAGGAAGTGAAACCTTCGTATTAGTTGAAGAAGCAAATAATAAAGGCAATATTGTTGAAAAACCAATTGAATTTATTTGGAGAGAAAAGGCAATTACAAAACAAATCAACCAAAAAACTTTTTATATATCACATGGAATATTAAAATGTACTTTAGAATTGCAGTGCAAAACAATTGAGATAACAAATTTAGTATAGTTTATTACTATATATATATTGTATTTGCAAATCGCTATAGTATAATATTATATGATTTATATTTTTACTACCTTTTCTGAATATTCAGTAGGTGTTTTGCTAATTCTATAATAAATTTGTCGATTTTCGAAACTACAAATTTGATAAACAGCTGATTGCTTCCCCTTACCAATCCCACCTCCCATATTCGTATTTCTATAAAATAAGCGAACCTAAAAATTAAATTAATAATTTAAATTATCTATAGTGTAATTAATAATTTAAATTATCTATAGTGTAATTAATAATTTAAATTATCTATAGTGTAGTATGTATATAAATACTTACATGTTTATGGTTTTTTTTTTCCACGCTTGATGTAGTAAACCACTGTAAGCAAAGATTTTGTTGATATAATTCTCGCATAAACAATGGTACATGATATGCTAAAACATGCATGTATAGAGTTATATCAGTTCGTTGATATAATCCATCCTGCATAATTTGACCATTAAATGTTTTTATTGTTGGCCTAGCAAAATCTTGAACCCATTGACGTGCATCTTTTGTAAATTGATTAATTTTTTCTTCTGATAAACTATTACATTGCATAGTGCAATATAACAGATAAAATCTTCTCCATAAGTTTTCAATATCTTTACCTCGATTACCATCAATGAAAGTAGAAACTGGAAATTTTTCAACAATTTTTAGTTTAGAAGGTCCCATTAAAGTGCACCAGGTC